TGCGTTTGCCCTTGACACTGTTTTGTGGTTTGTAGCTAGTCTGTGATATCTGTTCCTTTGGGCTCCACACCTATGATTTCGGCAAATCTCGAATTAGTAGTCTGTTATGACGCTCTTTTAAGGGCGGCAGTGCGTAATTCATAATATATATCAAGTTTCCTTGGTAAGTCACATGACTATTGTGTACTTTCGGCAATTAGATGAACAGTGTATCTAGAGAGACCATTTCTACTTCATTATTGTAGCTGGGCAAAACATGTGTAGATTACCTCAGAAAGAACAGGTGAAATATTTATAGATTACGTCAGAAAGAATTGGGGAAACATTTGTAGATTACCTCAGAAAGAGTAGGTGAAATATTTATAGATTACGTCAGAAAGAATTGGGGAAACATTTGTAGATTACCCCAGAAATAATTGGTGAACATTTTTTTTTAGATTAGACCAGGAAGGGGGGGAGGGGGGGGGGGATATTTTTCAAGATCATAATAAAAAGAGTGTGGGAAAGTTGTCTAAATTACACCCAGTGTTCCTAGATTACATCCACTAAAATCAGGAGACATTTTCTAGATTATACACCAGAGGAAAGTCCTGATAGGCAAGGTGAGATTTTTCTAAATTTCACTGGTAAGAATCAGAGACCATTTTCTAAATTACACCAAAGAGAAAGCTTCTTGGTTTAACTTGGAAAAAAAAGTAGAATGTGAAAATTGGCATTGCTTGAATTTATGCATGTGTTTTTGCTTGATATATATTAAGCACATAGTTTAATATTAGTCTGCCTGAACATTTTAAATATGTAATTTTTGTAGCCCCAAAAAATTGTGCAGTGTATTATTTGTGATTGCATTATGTGTATTGTTTTTTTTTCTTATCATGGGGCCCCGAAACCCACACAGGGACAATGTCTAAACAAAAGCAAAGCACCCATAGAAGTTCACTAAAAGAGCACTGTTCAACACAGTATTATTACCAACGCTATGCTATCAATGTCAGACACGGACACTGTCATCAGAAGACAGAAGGAAAATAATAATGGCAGAAATGAGATGTTTACATTCTGTGCTAGGTGAAACAAGGAAAGATCGACTTAGGAATGATGACATCAGGAGTAGAGTTGGTAGAGAACCAATACTGAACTTTATTGGCAGACAACAACAGATCAAGTGGATTGGCATCAGTCAGGCACCACAGAGAGCACTGTTTAAACAGATACAGTGGTAACAGATCCAGAGGTTGACCATGCAGAAAATGGACAGCAGAAATATCAAAGACACTGAAAAGTAATTTATACAAAGCAAATTGAAGGGCCTATTCAAGAGATCTCTTCCTGTCTTGACACTCCGAGGCATTCATGGAGTAGAGGCAGGAAAAAGCATTTTTAGTCTTATTAGTCCATTTTGATATCTTTTGTCATGATATGGTTGAAACACTACGAAAACTGGGGTAGTGAACCCCGAGTATGTCTAGAATAATAATCATTAAAAAACAATGCTCGGTCTTCTAAGGTTCACATTGCTTTGGCACACTTGGGAGATAAATGATAATAAGAGTCCCTTGAGAAATCTTCTGTGGTGGAATATATGTGGGTAGAAATGCCAAAATTGGTCAATATTATGACATAAACATGCTTGCAAGTGGGACACAAATGATACAGTTCTTGAGGCGATTCATGGGAACAGAATGCCATGGGTCATGCTCATGGAGGAGGGAAATCGGGAAGGAAATATGAATAAATGAGAAAAAGACTGCAGGTAGGTTAAGAGCCTAGCTTCTCAGGAAAAGCGTGTAAAATAGATGCTTGACAACAATTGTTCTCAAATTCCATGCTGTAGCTATGGAAGCATTTTTTCAACATATGACTCTAATTAACCCCCCCCCCCCCCCCCCCCCCCCAAATTTTTTTACATTTATTTATAAAACTTTACTTTAAAAAAAGGGGGAAATATATAAGGATTTATAAAGAGCTTATCAGTGAAGCATTCAATGGAATACATATATAAAGATATGTAAAGAGCTTATCAATGAAGATTCAATGAAGAATTTAAGGGAATACATTCCCCAGGCAGTAAAAACAAAACAGAATGTATCCTGTGATTCACACCAAGAACTCTATGACTGAGGTCTGCAGAAAAATGTGATGTCAGCTTGGCTTTTTCAAAAAGCTATTTGGGTCAAAAGGATTACCCCCCCCCCCCCCCCCCCCCCCCCCCCACCCATAATATTTTTAGGTATTATGTGCATATCCTTCCCTTTTGAATATGGTTCAGGACCACATAGGACCAATGCAATTGAACTACCTTTTAAGAACAGGTCATGGCCATATGTCGGCCTTCACTGGAACTGTTTCACAACCAAAAGTGATAAGATTTAGCCTTCTCAGGGGACAGAGTTAAAGATGATGACAAACTCATCAGAAAGATAGAAGCTTGTAGATTCCAGAAGTCAAATGCTGTCACCTGTCAGCTCAGACACCCAGATTTGTCTCTTCCAACAAAACAGCTCAGAGTTCAAAAGTCAAATGCTGTCACCGGTCAGCTTAGACACCCAAAAGTGTCTCTTCCAACAAAACAGCTCATAGAGTTCAGAAGGCAAATGCTGTCACCTGTCAGCTCAGACACACAGATGTGTCTCCTCCAACAAAACAGCTTGTAGAGTCTAGAAGGCAAATGCTGTCACCTATCGGCTCAGACACACAGATGTGTCTCCTCCAACAAAACAGCTCGTAGAGTCCAGAAGGCAAATGCTGTCACCTGTCAGCTCAGACACCCAGAAGTGTCTCTTCCAACAAAACAGCTCATAGAGTCCAGAAGTCAAATGCAGTCACCAGTCAGCTCAGACAAACAGATGTGTCTCCTCCAACAAAACAGCTTGTAGAGTCCAGAAGTCAAATGCTGTTACCTATCAACTCAGACACCCAGATATGTCTCTTCCAACAAAACAGCAAATGGTAACAGCAACTTCATCCCCACTATATGCTGTCAGTGCCAAAAAAAAATTGACAATGAGCAGAGCACAGCATCTAAAAAATAGCTACATGTGAAATTTGCTGTCTGCAAAATATGACCAACAAAACAAGAAGGGACAGGGTCACAAATACCATATTCCCTGTGCAGTTCCAGGAATCCATTTTGAAGAACAGACTTCTGTCCTAAAATGGAGGCAGAATGTTAAGCTTGGAAGTAATTTTTTGCTTCTGACAGCTCTTTGCTAATTCAGTTTCCACATAAGGAGGGTAGTCAACAGTTTTGCTGAGCTGCTGAGTCTACTGCTTGCTGCAGCCCTATGAGCTGTGTTTTTTCTTGTGGAATGATTTTTATTTGTGCACCGGTTGTGTCGTATTCAATATGGCCGGTAGCCGGTTTACGCGTAGGCTGGTGAAAAACCTTGTGTAATAACTCTATGTGTTTATCATGCCCGACTACTCCATCAATGACAAACTGCATTTCTGGTGGTGACTGTTGGCTTTGGGGCCTCTAGCGACTGAAATATGCATTTACTGCATGCACATATTTCTGGATTGTTTTTCTTCACCGGCTCTTCTATCAAGCAATGCTGTAGGAGGTGACTGAGACTTGAGTTAGAAGAAGAACGGAGCACTTATGGGTTACACCCATGTGCCATGATGTTGATCCATTGTTCTAAACTTCAAAAGTCCATCAAGCAATGGATCGCAAACTGTTCCTGCCATCGACAACAGCAAAAGTGAAAATTGATAATGATGATGGCTGTGAACACACACTCCACGAGTGGTATCTACTACACAATCACTTTTATTTTATCATTTACTTGTACATCGCTCTTCCTCAGCTTATCACACAAATAGATGTTGCTTCCATCCTGAAGCTGGTTGACCTTGGGTGGCGTAAGGTCATGGAGGAGAAAAAGAACATCAGGTTCTGGAAAAAGCTGAAAATGTTGATACCTTTAGCTCTCCATCCAGCTCTGTTACTGCAGGAAAAGAACACTGCTATAGGGTGTGGAACAGACGAGGTATGTTGCTTACATTTCTCAGCTTGGAAGACTTAATGAACTGTGAGGCTAGTCATCATCATCATCATCTTCTCTTTCTCCTCCTACTCCTCCAGTTAACCCAGGGAAGTTCAAGGGTAGTGTGGGGGGAGGGGTATTTAGTGTCCTCTTTTTAATTTGTTGTGTAAGTTGGTCTCCTGTTTCTCTGAGTTATTCTTATTCAACCTCATCTGTGTAGTCTTACTCTTGTCCCTACCCTCTCCAGTAAATCAGTATTAAGATGGATTAGGCTTTTGTTAGTATATCCTGCTATTGGGGAGTGTGAACTTAACTTCATGACAGATGATCAGGTAATCATAGTTTCTACTTCTCAGCAGACGGGTCACACCATCAGTGTTCTGTTCTGTGCCAGCAAAAACCATGCACAGAATATCCATCACTATCCCTTGTGAAAAAAATGTACACAGACTGCAGTATTAGCAAATCCAACAGCATACATGCACCTTCAGTGCAAAAGGCAGCAGTCAGAAGTGCTGGTACAAACATCTAGAAATGCAGTTCACTTTTGATGGAAGCAGCAGTTCCAACAGATTAGCAGTTGCCCACACAATTAATCAAACAAGGCAAGGCAACAGGCAACTCACCATTTTCATAATGGGATTTATCCGTGTGTGGGTTCCAGGGCCTTGTTACAGGGAAAACAAGAATAGACCCACTGCCTACCCAAAAGCATGTCATAAGAGTCGACTAATTGGGAGCTTCCTTCAAAGTCGGAGTGCATCTGCCTGAGAGGCAAGGAACCAGCAATCTGCATACAAATGAGTCAGATCTGTAACACTCAGGTTCTGGAACAGGACTGCAGTCCAAAAGTGGATGAACAACCAGAACTTTCCGCCAGAGTTTACAGCTGGTGAACGCGAAGAAGAAGAAGATAATGGGATTTAATCCAGACTGATATCTTAACCAAAAAAATTATTCTGATGGTATAACTTCACCTACCATATGTTGCTTACATTTCTTGGTCCTCAGTTTGTGACAAAGCTGATCAGTCTTGCTGTAGACAAGACAGGGGTCATGTACATTGTGTTGGACCATCTGTGTAACCAGATTCTTCAGAATGATCCAGACAGGAGGATCGCCACCAGGCTCATCCCTCTGCTGGTGGAAGGCTGCTACATGGGGTCAATCCACAAAAGAGGCGAACGGTTTGTCAGTTTGTAATTACATAAATTATCATTAGATACATTCTTTGTAGATGCCATGGAGGAGGACAATTTTGAAATGGAAAAGAGTCAAAAGAGAAAAGGATTGTGTACAGGTATGTCTGATTGTGTACAGTTGAAGTACATGTGATGACAACAGTCTTTTGCACTTATTGTTCTAATAGCAAATGAACACATTGAGCAGACCAACTGGCAAGTGATGTACCAACACATGTGGTAAGAAGCACGGACAGAGTAGATATCATCAACACTAAACACTGGGCTAGTTGATTTTGAGGTTTGAACAACGGACCAACATCATGGCACACGGAGAGTAACCCTGAGTCCGAAGAAGCTCGGCACCGTGCACTGTGGCTCTGTAGCACCGGCTAGGATCCTGAAATACTTTGGGTTGATTTTTAACTCAAAATTTTGCCCAGGCAGCTCCGTTAGGCTACTCTTTTTCATTTCCAACTGCCAAGGGATTTTTTTACGTGCGGAACAATGCACACGGGTATCTGGTCTCACTACCCAGAGACTAGGGGTAATTACTATAAGTCCAATTCCACGTGAAAAAATCCCAGCCCTTACCGGGGATTGAACCCGGAACCTCTAGCACTCGAGGTGGACACCATGCCTTGAGACCACGCAACCCCCTAGTTGATAATGATGAATCTCTGACACTAACATGATTGCATGACATGGGAGGGAAGCATGTCTATGCCGCCTTCGAGGCCAAGATAGGAGACATTATAACCAACCTCTCATGGGAACAATTAGTAGAATTACCTTGGAGTGGTTGCCGCATTGGAGCATGCATGGGAATGCCCAATATGCGGTGAGGTCGATTGTGATAACATAATATAACGTACACTTGTTGTGGAAGGTTCTTGTTAATAGAAGCTGGTCTTGGTGGTCACACACTCTCCATTGCCGTAAGCTGTGATTTCCCATGCCTTGCTTTAGCACAGTGGGACAGTCATCTGGAAAGATGGAAAAGTGCCAACATACATTCTTTGGGCATATCATTAGAAAGAAAAAACTGTAGTACATTGTGGCATCAATAAGGTGGGAGGGCAAGAGGTGTAGGAGGAGACCAAGAGAGGTCTCCTTCTTCTTAGCATTCACCAGCTGTAAACTCTGGCAGAAGGTTCTGCTTGTTTGTCCACTTCTGAACTTTGGTCATGCTCCGGAACTTGAGTTTTGCCTCTGCATCCATTTTACAGATCTGGCTTATTTGTATACAGACTGTTGATCCCTTGCACAGTTCAAGTTCTGGAGCAAGAAGGGGTCAAATCAGATATTTCCACAGAAGTTTGCAGCGGGTGAATGCTGTGAAGAAGAATGAACAAATAGAATGGAACCATGTTGTTTGTGCTAAAAACCTGTTTGTTTTATGTTTTTTCAGTTTGTGGCTTGATGTTTGTTCTTATATTGAAAGCCTTGGAGACATCTGTAGTGTTAATCAGGTTACATCATGGTGAGTGTTTTGCTTTCCTGTCATTTTTGTTGTTGCTTTATGACATTGTATAAAGAGATTTCATGAATGAAGTCAGCTATGTCTCACCTGCAGTGGTATTTGTTGCTTCCAGTAAGCTTGTTATCTGCCTTCTGCACTGATGGCCTTTTGGGCACAAATGTGAAAAAATATGTTCCTATAGAGTACGTAAAGGACCCTTTACATGCCTTATGTTCGTCAGACATATAGTGCCAAACAGGTTTTTTTTTTTTTTTATAGACCAGTCGGCTCTCGATGGATGCGGTCAACATGAGTGTAGATGTGCTCATATATAAGTGTATGTCTCTCTCTTTACCTTATCCGAAAAGTCAGAAAGATGCCAGAATATGTGTGTGTTACTGATGCATGAGTGGAAACAAAGTAAAATATTGGTTTTCAGTTACAGATCAGTCATTGCGCACAGATATCTCCTTAAGTGTTTCAGTCTCTCATAGATCACACAGAACAGTGTAAAAACTCTGTAACTCCATCAGAAATCCAACTGTAAATTTACAAGAATCACACATGCTGTAAATTTATATTTTACGGGTAGATCGTCTCATTTTGAAATTTGGCCTGGAAGCAGCCTGCTTGGCAACCTCTTTTTTGACTTCCAACTGCGGAGGTATTATTAGCACGTTGCACATACACTGGAGCTTCCATGTAAAAAAAAAAAATCCTACTTGAAAAGGAAATCTACGAGTTGAATTCAATCAGTAAGTCACAAATGGTTGTTTAAAAAACAAATATATAGAGATGAAAACAACTTGCAAACCATTTATGTTTACACATACACTGCCCCTTAATTTTTCAACATATTTTCCACCAACATTGATGCACTTGTCCCATCGTTTTATTTGCCCTCCCAAACCTGTTGCATAGAATTGCATGCTGACTTATCTAAACCACATTTTCATTTTAAATTCAACTTCTGCCTAAATTGTAAAATGTCCCCACCTAGGTGGGTTTTTTTTTTTACCATCTGTGCGCCGCTTTGAGGGATAAACATTTGTCAGATCAAACAGGAAGCATTTCGTCATGTCTTTTGCTGAAAGCCCCCACCCCCTCCAAAAAAACCACTAGAACACTTAGGTTTTTAAGGATACACTCCGTAAGTACAGTCGCCATTTTGTTTCTGTATTGGAAATGCGCATGCAACACTTAGCGCCACCCAATGAATGGAGACATAAAGTTCATCGTTGCTGTCACCTAGTGACATCTTTAGAAACCAACCCATTTTCCTGCCTTACCACAACCAGTTGTGACTTATTGTCTTCCCCTCGTACTACCCCAGTAACCAGAGCGTGGTACCATCCACTTCTTATTTATTTTTGTTAATAACAACTCCACATATTCCATGCTCTGAATCAGACCAGGCCTGATAAAGATGGACACAAAAATATTAAAGCAAGTGCATCTTCAATGAGCTGAATATTATAGAGGTTGTTATTCTGATTTGATCCTTAAATATACGTGTTTTCTTTCCTGTATGGGTTCCGGGGACTTATTTTTGAGAAAAAAAGAATAGACAGATGTAGGAGATGACTAATTAGAGGTGTTTCCTTCAAAGTTGGAATACTTCTGCCTGAGAGGCAAGCAACCAACAGTCTGCATAAAAGTAAACCAGATTTGTAAAACACATGTGCACACAAAGTTCTGGATCAAGAACAAAGTCCAGATGTGTGCAGTAGCTTCCCTCTTTGGCCGAACACATCTGATTTCAGCACTCCTGATTTGTAAGTTTTTGCCACAGGCTTAGACTTTGCCAAAATGCTTTGTAATTCCGGAGTGCCTGGTTTAATCCCAGTTGCTGACAGTTTGGCAGCAGACCGCCTTGTGTTGGTTTTGACAGTGGTTTTGAAAGCTGCCCGTTTAAAATCGTCACGTGAAGCATCCCCGAAGGGGGAGCTTTAGGTTATGTGCGCCTTATAAAATGACTTAGCATTTCACACCACCACAAGTCCTGAAAAGGTCTCCTACAGTGTTGATGCCATCAGTAGAAACAGACCCAAATACTGTCCAGCAACAAAGTCATCTACCCGTGAGCCAAATTTTTTAATGACGTGCTTGTTAAGGAGAGCTGAGTCAATTTTTGCTACCAAATCCGCCTCCTGAACCCACACAAGAAAATCTGTAAACAATGACACTGTTCATTTTTTTTTTTTCCTCACCAGTTTTGCCAAAAATGACTTGTACACCCGTGTCACTGTTCTCAACTGGCTGTTACATCTACGGCCCGATGTCACAGTTGACCAGGAGTTTGTGTCCGCCTTCCTGCAAGCTCTTACAAACAAATACCTGGCTCTGGCAATTCAGACCAGCAACAAGCAGTTCGCCAACTCACTGGCACACAGGCAGAAACATCGAATGGTTCTGGTGCTCCTTTTGTTGGTGGATTTTATTAAAATGGTTAGTTGTAGGTTGTTGTTTTTTAATAGTAAATTTAACTCAGTTGGACAGATATTATGTTGTTTCGTTCGTTTTACAGTGCTTTTCTCTTCTTCTTCTGCGACCACCCTTTAAGGGGTGGTGGTCTACAGCTAGGCTATGATATCTGCACATTTCGGCCCAACACATCCATTTCCACAAACCATTAATTGGGGCAGGGGGAGGGGCTATTCTTTTTCCTCCAGTAAGTGGAAACTACTTGGGAGTGTGTTTCTATCAACTGGTTAGTTTTTGTTTCTAAACTTTGGTTTAGTTAAATGAGTAATTTTTTTCCAAGTGAATTTCTTAAAATTTGTTAATACGTTTTTGTTTTTTTAAATAGTGTATTTCAATAAAATGCTCAGTTGTAGTTTTTATTTAAATAGCTGATATAATGACAGTGCTTGTTTGTAGTTTTTTTTTTTTTAAGTTTATTTAGTCAAAATTTGTAAAGAATTTTTTTAATGGTGTTTTTTATAAAAAAAAAATTTTTATGGCTATTTTTCTTTTAAAGTACTGGTTTTCTCTTGAACTTGGTTAGTTTTGTTGTTGTATAAGCTTTTTGTTTCAAACATAGTGAGTGTTATTAAAGTAATCAGTTTTTAAAGTGCATGAAGTTAAGATTGTAAATTGCAGTTTTGGTGTGTGTGTTTTTTTTTAAATATTGAAGTCGGTTAAAATAGTCAGATTTCAAAAATAGGTTTTCCTCACCTGGACTTCATTCTGGAAAACGAGCATCTTGCGGATGAGAATAAACCATGTTCAGACGTTATATTGGGCTGCCTGTTTATCATGTAACCTGCAATTCCATTGGGTTATTGTGTAAATAGATTGACGGGTTTGTTAACTCTTTTAGTTCCAAACAATACATGATGGACTCTTCCCCATATATTTTTACCATGAGATATTGTGCATGCATGCTTCCCCCCTTGCGGCTGCTACCCAAATGTTTGACACGCTGAGATTACAAAATATGATAAATTTGGGTGAGGAGAGGAGTGGGTTAAAGTTTCCGAGCAAGTTTCAGACTTGTGTAGGGTTCTTATCACTTTAGGTCGTGATTGCAGGGACTGGCCAGCAGGTGCTGCAGAATCAAGTTCAACGAATGATTCATGACAATTCCCACCAGGTGATGTGATTCTCTTTGTTTTCCTTTAAGTTTGTGCAGTGCAGCTTTATTGATTATGATATCCACACAATCTTCCTTTGCATGTACTGTCAGAAATTTCTGTATCTTTAGGTTGATCTTTTCACATTTAAACATTTTGTTGTTGAGCAATTGCTTATTTTTCCTTAGAGTCAACATGGAGAGTATCTTTCTCTGCTTTGGCATGCCCTTGAAGCAGAATCTCATCCATCCGTTCGTCAGATGCTGGAATGGCTTGTGATGATACTCATTATCCACAATCCACAGTTTGCAGCCAGCATCTGGGAGGTGTTAAAATTGGTAAGAATTTCCTGGTTATAATTTTTTTTAAACTGCCGATTTGTACAAAATTATGTGGGAGCTGCAAAGATCTGGTTTTATAGAAGAATGATGAGAATAACACAAGGTAAAGAAGAAATCTTTAAAGGAGTTGAAGGTAGACACCAATACACAAGGGGGGATAATATCAAGAAATGGACAGTAGTCAGTTAACAACCACGATGAAAGAGAGATTCTTAAAGATCCATTGCAGCCAACTTTCAATTTGGTTGATTAAATGATAGAAAATAGTTGAAATCTGTGGGATATTTGGAAAAAAGAGCTGAATTGGCAGTTTTCCTTTCAAGGTCTTCTTGGCAGTTTTCCTTTCAAGGTCTTCTTGGCAGTTTTCCTTACAAGGTCTTCATCAACTGTAGGGTCACTACTCTGCATGCCTGATCTAGTCGTGAACAGTCTGTCACAGAAGTCGCACCGTTTTGGAGCTTCCTACTCCTTATACATTTGCTGGACTGACAAGAATGCATCAACTTAGAGGACCTTTATCCATCGATGATTGCTCTAGGTTTAACCCAGTGCTATTCAACTGGCGGCTTGCGGGCCACGTTTGGCCCGTGAAGGTCTAGCTTGTGGCCCACGGATCTTTGCCGATTGTATTGTTTTAATGAGGTTTTCTATGCTTTGGCTCAGGTTTCTGGCCCAAGACAATCCCGATTTTTGCAATTTTGGCCCCTGAGAAGACTTAGTTGAAAAGCCCTGGCTTAACCCCTTTACTAATAAAAACAATGGAATGCTGCTCCTTTTTGGTGCCATACAATGTGCAAGAGAAAAACATATACCAAAAGAGGAGAGGTACATAAGGCACAAGGTGGATCAAGAACAGGATGGAAAGAGACACTCCACGACTGCACTCTGTGCATATGGTTGAGAAATAGAACCTCATATCTCTTTCAACACTCAAAGTGTTAAAAGAGGAAGTGAAGAAGAAGAATAAGCACTTTAATTGTACATAAAGACAGTCTTTTTTCTTTGCCATTGTCATTACTTCTGTCAGTCCATTGTTCAAGCTGGGGTCCATACTTTCACTGTCTGCAATCACTTTACCATTACTTCTGTCAGTCCATTGTTCAAGCTGGGGCCCATTCTTTCACTGTTTGCAATCACTGTACCATTACTTCTGTCAACCCATTGTTCAAGCTGGGGCCCATTCTTTCACTGACTGCAATCACTATATCTGTGCCCCCGCCCCCTCCCTCCCCTATTTGGGGCAGTTGGACTTTTTTTTTCTTTCTCAAAATTGTTGCCATGAAACCTGCTTTTTTATAATTTTTTTTTTTCTGGCTTATTATCTTGATAGGTTGTAATTTAGAGATCATAAAATATAAATCAGATATCACTAGAGATAGGTTGTAATTTAGAGATCGTTAATATATGAATCAGATATCAGGAGAGATGGGTTGTAATTTAGAGATCATACATATATAAATCAAATATCAGGAGAGATGGGTTGTAATTTAGAGATCATAAATTTATAAATCAGATATTAGGAGATATGGGTTGTAATTTAGAGATCATAAATTTATAAATCAGGTATTAGGAGAGATGGTTTGTATTTTAGAGATCATAAATTTATAAATCAGGTATTAGGAGAGATGGTTTGTATTTTAGAGATCATTAATATATAAATCAGATATAAGGAGAGATGGGTTGTATTTTAGAGATCATAAATATAAAATCCGATATCAGGAAAGATGCATTGAACAGAATATTGCTTTTTTATTTTAAATTACTGATGCTACATTGGTTTGACTTATTGGCATTTCTTCATCCACAGTTTGATAACAAGCGCAGTGTGTGTCTGTGTTCCATCTTTCTCATTATATCTCATGTAGGCATGACATTTGCTCCAGAGTTACAGGTGGGACTTATTATATTATCTTATATTCTGCTTATAAACGAACCCTTTTGTGCATGAGGCATATGATGCTAGGCTTATATTTTATTAAGTCATTTGCCTCATGCTCTGACAGTTGTGGAATCGTTTGACGAACTGCTGACATTTTTACAAGGATCTCTTTTGACTCCACACTCCCAGCCAGTGCTAGCTGTCCTTGAAGAGAGACTAAGTGATTTGGGATTTTTAAAAAACTACTGTTTTGAGGATGTGTAAGCATTGATGTACTCTGTTATAGGTTTATGCTGATCATTACTGTTTTCCTTCATGGCAAGTTCCTGAGCAGACTGTTGCAGGTCACTTTAAAAAAAAAGTTGGGAGATGTGAACCAGCGTCATTGCACATGGTTATAAACCATAAATTCTCTGCCACCAGTAGGAACAGCTGATAAGAATCTGCCCGCCTGAGTCGCCGTTCGCATCAACTCCATAGCTAAAGCGACATTCTTCCTTTTGCCCCAGAGTGTTAACTCTGGTACCCATTACCTAGAGGCTGGGTGAACCCTGGGAACCGCCCGGTTTTGAACACCTACTGTGGGCTGCAGCGAGTCACTGCTGGATTTGTTTACGAGTTTCCCATCGACTCTGCTAACGTGGAGGTGCCCTAATATAACTGTTTTAGGGTTGAACAAGGTTTCTCAGTTTTGTTACCCTACAGACAGCAGTCCTGGATTGAAACAGTGACCGAGCACTGACAGTTCTGGTTAATGATGGAAAAATAAATTTTAGCTTCAGCTGTGATAAAGGAAACAAAGTTTGCTTGCTTCAAGACTTATCATCTTCTTCATCTTCTTTTTCACTTCCTCTTCACCCTTCGGGTGTCGAGGGAGAAATAAGGTTCTGCTTCTTCCTCTTCTGGCTGCCTCGGCCATAGACACATTGGGCTGTTTTTGGAATTTCTCACATGATATCTTGTTCTTGGTCTACCTCATGCTCTGTGTCCTTCTCATTTTTTGGTGTATGCCTTGTATGGTATGGTGTCACAAGGCATTCTCTCTAAAGCAATTATACCCTTCATGGATATGCTGGGCAAGTCTTCCTTTCCAGTGCCGTTATTTATGGAGCACCACAAAACACTGGCCTTCTCTGGGTTCACCCTTGACCCTGTCTGTTCACACCACTCCGTCATCTCACACAAAGCATTTTGCAAGTCTCTGGTCATTTCATTCCTGTCTGACCCCCTTCGATACATTAGGACATCATCTGCAAATGTCAAAGTTTGCCCTGGTCCAATGGGCTGAATTTTTGTCAGACTTGCAGTATATATGTTAAACAAGACAGGTGACAATGGTGATCTCTGATTAAGGTCAAGGCAAATGCGTATTGAATCTGATCTCCATGTTCCCAAACAAAATACCACTGTTCTTTCCAACAATGCTGCTCCCCCCCCCCCCCTCCCTCCAATTAGCTAACCAAGGGTTCACACCAGTCCACCACGCACTAATTTGAAGTCAAATGCGACTGTTGTAGCATTGCCCAAAAACTAGTAGAACAGATTTTTCCATCTACTACGGGAAACGAACCCCAGCACTTAAGGATTATGAAACTGTTAACTGCACTCACCGACCTCTCAGCCATGGAGACACACTACAAATGCTAAGGTTAGGTTGAATTAAGTTACCACTTGTCTGATACTGAAAGAGTTAAATAAGAGCCAGTTGTATCATAATCCCATAACCATGCATGTCACTGGGTAACCAATTTGCTGTTGACTGTCTTCTTCTTCTTCTTCTTCTTTGTTCACCAGTTGAAAGTTCTGGTTTTTCATCCATCTGGACTTTGGCTTTGTGTGTACATCCGTTTTACTGGCTTATTTTTGTGCAGTTGGTTGTTCCTTGCCACTCGGCCAGATGCACTTCGACTTTCCTTTAAAGTCCTACGACATGCCTGTTGAGGAGGCAGTGGGTCTATTCTTTTCCCCACATTGGGGCCCCAGAACCCACACGGGGATGTTGATGTTCTGATTAGTTCCCTCCACCTCTGTTGGTCAGATTCCGTCGACTTGATGTTTAAATGTTAAAGACCCGTCCTGTTAGTTCTGTATCCAGTTCTTTCTTGGTCTGCCTCTTCTCTTCATCCCTCTACTGAGCCTTGTAGTATTGTTGACTTTAAAAATATGCTACGAGTTATTGATCTGTTTTGTCCAAATCCATGACAGGAGAATTATTATACCCAAGCACTGTCGTCAGTGTTACCATGGACAATGGCACACCACTACAACACCAGGATGTTTGCTCAAGCCACATTGACACGTTTGTGGCATCAGTGCCAGCAGTTGGGATTGAACTGTGTCATCACCCAGCATGCCATGGTGCAACCTGTCCTGAACTTCTTGTTCAACAATGGGTATGAATATTGTAAATATTATTGATATCCCTTGTTTTTCACTTACAGCATAAGGTTATCCTAATCAGCACAAAGAAACATCTCATACAAAGCATGTTCATTCCCACCCGATACTACCAGTGCCATACATGGTCACTCACAACAAAAGATAAAAGAAAATTAGTAACTATGGATATGAGGTGTCTGATAAAGACTACTGTAGGAGTGACCAGAAGAGGTAAAATCAGGAATGATGTCATACAGGATAAAGTCGGCACAGAACCAATTCTAAATTACATACAAAGATAGCAAATCAAATGGTTTGCCCACTTGGAGAGAATGTCCTCTAATACTATACCATTCATGGCAAATTCAAAAAAAAAAAAAAAAAAAAAAAAAAAGAAGGATGTAGAGCAAGAGGTAGACCAAGAACAATTTGTAAAGATAACATCAGAGAAACTCTACAGCACCATGATGTGCCTGTGGTCAAAGCAGCCAGAAGAGCATGAAGCAGGATCTTATATCTCCCTCAAAACCCAAAGTGGCAGAAGAGGACATGAAGAAGAAAAAGTTTCTCAACAACTACCCATTCTTAAATTCATTGAGAAACAGAGACTGCGATGTTTGGCTGCTTAGTGAGAATAAATCAACTATGCCAGTGATGGAAGCATCCAGCATGAAAATGAAAACATGAAGAGGCAGAGGGAGTCTTAGAGGAAGATGAACTGAGGAAGTTAGTCTGAGACGTTACAGCATACCAGTTAACCAAGCTTGCCCCAACTCCACTACCTACCATTCCATTAAACTGATTGACATAAGAAGAAGTTTGACGACGAGTATGAATCTTGTGAATAGTATTTATTTTCTTATCTTATGGAACTGCAAAAGGACACTTTCCTACTTGTAAGAATGCAAATATATTGAAATGCATTAGTTTGATGCTGCAACAAATTCATTGAAGAGCGGAAGATCAAATGGTCTGGCCGTTTTGTTAGAATGCAACAATAATGGCTACCAGTATACAGGACTACACCAAAAAAGATATATTGTGAGAGCAAGAAGGCACCTGGAGAGAATATGAAATGATGACATTATAAGTCCATATGAAATGACAATGTTCATGCCTTTCGAAGAGTGCTAGACCACAAACTGTTTCATCCCCATGATTCTTAATGACAAAAAAAGTGGAAGTAATGATGAAACAGATATGTTCTGGTTACAATAATCTGACATAAAACTCAAGTACAGCAAAATAATAGTTTCATTAACACAAGATGATCATAGAAAAAAGGCCTGAGACATTCTTTGAAGAAAAAAAAAGTTATTAGTTTTGGTACTATTTAAAGGTAATTCATACAACACATAATGTAAATGAATTTAAAGAAATTTGTGCCCCTTCGTTTTATAGTTTAATAATATTATTTTTTAACATGATCAATTCAGGTTTAGCCAGGAATGACTGAAAAAACATGTTTTGCTATGAAATAAATAGATTTTACAATATCTTCATATTTTTCATGTATAGATGACAAGGCAATCACCATGGTACAATCCCATATCTGCATCAATTCTTACTAATCCTCTAACTATCCATGATTCACCTCTGTACTTCATGAATGGCTCTGCTTAGCTCATCAGAACACTGTAAAATCAGTTGTCCAGGATATTTTATTGCTTAGAATGTTCTTTAACTGTTGCTTTGCCTTGGGCTTTTCTGCATTTTTTTTTTGGTCAGTGTCTGTTCGCTTAGGGATTTATGGATGCAGGTCATAATTATGAGATAGCTTATTTGATTCAGCTGCCGGTGGATTGGCAGCAGATCACTTTGCACTGATTTTGACAGTGGTATAGAGCCCTGACCATCAGAAGCAGTGGCAAACTACTGAAGGATATGTAACTAACTATACTGCATTTAACTTCTTTAATACATCTTCACCTGATTTCATCAGGGTACCTTTATAACACATTGACTTGCTTCAGATTAGTCCCATTTACTTTATGTTACCTGCTGGTAGGTTATGTTTGTTTAAATGGGAATCATTGATAATGTTGTCTCTTCTGTTATTCATGAAGAAATGCAAGCGCCACTGTATCAAAACTGCTGAACTACTTCATGTATAACCCATTTGATCCTGTCAAGGATTACAGTATAGAGGTACGTTGTATGCTGGGGAGGTGTGTTTGGTCCATGTTAATTTGTTACTTGTCCATGTCATCATCCTAACACATTGGTGCAACCCATTCATGCCCCGTCTCTGATGCAGCAGGTATCTCATTGTCTCCATGCTCAACTTACCAAATAGTAGTTGACTGGCATATCTTTTGTTTTCTTTGCCCTGCATCTAGTTTCTGCATGCTTCTCCTAATTTAATACCTCTTTCCAACAAGTGATTCATTGTCTCTGACTCTGGGTTTATTTATATTTTTCCTTATGCTGCTCTCGTCTTGCTGGTCATGCTCACCATCACCATAGGCTGTGATTCCCATAATTCCAATAGCATGACCAGGCCGTGGGGTTAGCCTTTGATTCCTCCCCAGCAAAAAATGGTTGACCTGTTCTGTTTCTGGTTACAGCTTTTTTGTCGAGTTTAGTCTCTAGACTGTTGCAGTCCCATGCTAACAAGGCCTGTCTTCCAAGATATTGGACCACTGCAATCAAAACATTGTGAGCACAGCATGCGGTCAAGACTGATCCTTATCGGTTGTCGTCCCACTCAGTCATAGCATAACCACAGTTCATGCTACTCCCAGAAAAAAAAATCCCCTAGTTTATCCAGAGATGGAAATGTGCACAAACTAAAAGCCCATGACAAGAAAACACTGCACAGCCAACAAACCCAAAGTTCCTCATCGCCTTCTTGAAAAATGTCCAACCTCATATAGCACGATGCAACACTTGTCTATAAATAGGGAAAGGTGCCAACAACTTAATAATCACTCACATAAAATACCTGGGGGCTGCAATAACATCATATAGAAGAAGAAAAGATGAGATTAAGAGTAGGGAAGACAATGCAAAAACTGCAGTTACCATACCATGCTTTAGTTGTTCTCCATGTTTCTGCATCAAACAACAGTACTGATGTGACAATAGAATTAAATATATCCAGTTTAGTATTAGTTTTAATTTCTTTTGAACTCCACAAATTCCAAGTTCTATGAGAGCGCCTCTTGTCTTTTTGTATTTTAATATCTCTTACAGTTCTCCCATCTTTATCTACATTCCCTAACGAAGGTTCAAACCTGTGTCTCTCACATGAGAACTCAGCATCCATCACTGTGTATATACGTCTGCTTCCATTAGTTTTCTTTGTTTTTTTTCTTTCGAGGCAATCATTTTTAGTTACTCTGACGTTCTAAGGTATTTGCATCATTTATCTCAGAAGCCGCATCAAAGGGCTGCAAACACTGGTGTATATAATATAAAATTACTTTTTCCTCATGCTTCTTGAAATTAATGGCAGCTGACTGTTTGTTTGCCAGTTGGCACTTTTTTAAATCTTTCCAGGGACAGTATTATATTGTGCTGTAAGGAGGCATAGGACCCAGGGTGATGGCAAGTGTGACTAGCAAAACCCGCCTGAGTTGAGAAAAGTCTTCCGCAATTAGAGCATGGGATTTCAGGACCATTGTTGCCATCATTTGTTATATCATAGCAGAAGCTGGCCTCAATATCTTCTGTTCATCTGTAATTCATCATAGAGGATGTCCTCTGCCATCTTTCATTCTCCAGGTGTGACTGAGCCTTTGGAGACAAAGCATTGAGAAGACTGTTGTAATACCTGCTCTTTCCAATACCTTAATGCCAGTAAATGCCAAGTATTCTTCTTAGGCATTGCATGTGAAAGCTTTTTAGCTGTTTCTCTTGGTGCGAAAAAGTTGACCATGTTTCACTGCTATAAAGAAGAGTGCTAAGAAACATAACCCTGATAGACAAGAGTTTTGTTTTAATTTGGAACTCTCGGTTATCCCAGGAGCTGTAGTGGTGTAGCGGCTAGATGTGTGCCTACATATCCGAAGGTTGTAGGTTCAGGTCTTGATGGAACCGGAATTTTTTCAGAAATGACCTTGGCTTCCAGGTAAAATCCTGGGAAGTAAAGGCGGCCGGCATGATGTTGACTACATCACCCACAGAGTGCCGACTGATCTAAAAAAAAATAGGTCTAGCCCTATAAGCCCAGTATGCTTGAAGACTGTGTGGAAAAGGGTCCTTTAATTTACTTTATGTTCTTCCAAACTCTTTTTTGTTCATTGTTCATCTGCTCATTGTTATTGCTGCCTTGCCTGTCCTGGAGTTGATTTTTTTTAGGTCTGGCGATAGTTTATTATTCACAGTGGATCGCAGCTATGTTAAATGGTCAGCTATCTCCAGCTCATCATCACTGTAGACTACGGCCTACTGTACTTTTAGGGTTAATCATCACCATAATATATTTTTATATATTTTAACTGACCATATTTTCATACTCTGATCAGTTGGGTTTTTCAGAGGCTATTTGTTTTACTCTTCCTAACTGCATTTATCCAGCAGGCGTGTAGAGTGGCAAGTATTACTTCAGAGGTCCTGGTAGTTAGCATCTTTTGCATATTTTCCCCAGGTCATGCTGGTGGTTTGGGAAATGAGCAGGCAGATAGACTGGGTGGCTCTGCACCACTTGATGGTGAATTGATTTATGACAAGTTAGATATTGTGAGTGCCCTTTGGGAACGGGTGATCAGTGCGGAGGCGCAGACAGATCATTACGGTCTGAGGAAAATGGCACTGTGAGTTACAAGGGGATCTGGCCGACACTTAACACTCAGGGAAAGGATGAGACGGATATACAATCAGATGGTTACTGGTACCATCGGAATTGGAACTCTTAGCTTGCTGCTGAAGATGGGGGGACTGAGCCCTTATAGGAGTGTCCCGAGTGCTGTGATGTGGATTCTTAATTCAGCATTCAACTGCATTTATCAGAACCAGTCTGTTTTCTCCTACTTCCACAGACCATCTGTCATACACTGCCCCGCCTGGCCTGTTTAGCAGACGATGAGTGGATCCTGCCAAGACAGTTTATTCAGATGGATCCCTCATGGCAAGAGACAGTGAAGCAACTGGTACCTCTCTGGAATGCCTCAAAACAACTGGCTTTGTGTAAAGAGGGACCGTGGAGAATGAAAGCATCAGGTAAAATACTTCAGGATAGTTTTTATTATCATTTACCATTCTAAGTGGGGGCAGTTATGGTCACTGCCTCATGTCGCGTGCGAATGTGCACCAGAACGCACCAGTACGGAGTGAGCAAATAAGACGTCAAAACAATACGTAACGTTGTTATGATCATATTGTTGTCAAAGCAGTTGATGTTTATAGTCCGAAGGAGACGGACGTGGGAATCCTTGAGGACGCTTTACCCCGGGATCCCACGGAAGCAAACGTTATTAAAGTTGGATCCTTGAGGACGTTTTACCCCGGGACTCCAAGACCTCAGCAGGAAGCTGGTGAGCACTACATTCTCGGCAGCAAGCCGGTATACTTTCATTGCTTAATTCGGACTTGTCCGAGGACCAAGATGATTGTCATGATCTCAAGGTCGGACTGCGACCTATCGTAAGGACATATCCATCCATGGATGTACGAGTGAGCTTTGGTTGAACGAGTTGATTATTGATTGCATACGTATTCTTGTGTTGATCATTGCTGATTGTATATATCAATACAACCATTGGAACTTAACGCATAGCGTTCGAACTCTACCTTTTGAAAGCATTGAAGTAACTACTGTTTTACCCCTACTTGGCCTATTTCATCTTGGTACCACACACATCAGCTTGAAGCGCCTCAGCACGTCCCAATGAAGGTCCGCACGTATCAATGGGGGCCAGCCTTTAAAGAATGAGGAACCTCTCGTCACAAGTGTGATACGACATTTTGTCGCATTGTTATTGTTTGCCTCAAGTTGTACACGAAGCACATTCCAGTTGTCACAGTCTTAACATATCTCTAGCTGTGGATATCGTTCAATGTATCAAGTCGCCGCCGCCGGTCTGTTCTAGCCATCGTTGGATCTTCATCGGGACCATATCATTCTTCGTTCGTTGGATCTTCATCGGGACCGTATCATTCTTCTTCGTTGGATCTTCATCGGGACAGTAGCACTCTTCGTTGGATCTCCGTATCATACTTCGCTGGATCTTCATCATAATCAAGTCACCGTTACTGACTGTGCCACTTTCCGTGGGATTGAATCGGATCAAGTCGTCCTTTTGGCTGTACATTGATCTGCTACTTGCCGTTGTACCCGTCGTTATTTTAGCGATTTTTCATCGCTAACATTGCAGTGTGTTGTTTGTCTGCCACCCAATTGGTAAGTCAATTGTGGTTGTTGTGGTTTCTGTTGCGCTGACAATTTAACTCTTTCCTCCAGAGAACCTGGTTGTCCGTGCGCAAGTGGAGAGCGAGTGGCACATTAATTGTACGTGTGTGACAGTACGCAGTATTCGTTGTCCTGTGGCGTCACTTCACCACACACTATCACATATATCATATATTGTATATTGATTGTCATATTATTTAAATATGTCTACATTTGCTGAGTTTTTGGAGTTAGGTCGTAGTATAGGCCTAGAAAATGGACAACTCTTAGCTTTCGCCGAAGCCAGAATGAAAGAGTTGTCGGACAGAGATAACCAGTTACGCGATGAGAGAACAGCGGAACGCGCCTGGAAAAAAGAAATGGAGTTGGAGAAATTACGCATGGAAAAAGAAGCTGAGGCTGAGAAACTACGCTGGGAAAAAGAAGCTATGGCGGAGAGACTGCGTTTCGAAATGGAGACTAATTTGGAAAGGTTACGTTTGGAGAACGAATTAGAACTAGCGCGTATAGATAGAGACAAGGTTGTTGCTGTGTCAGAATCAGAGAGCCGTCGTCTTGTGACTAGTAGCCGTTCGGGTTCCGAACAAGGGGCATGTGCATACATACCCAAATTACCGTTTCTTACACCTACAGAAGATCTTCATAATTTTTTTGGATCGCTTCTCTTTAGCGATGAATACCGCTAAGATACCAGAGGAACAATGGGTATCTCGTTTAAGGGATTTGCTAACGGGACCAGTTTTGAAACACGTTCACGAACTTATCAGAAGACGAACGCGCGTCGTTCGAAATAGTCAAACAAAAAACTGTTGGCGTCGAAGTGCATGACCGAAGAAGGTTACCCGTGTGCAGTTTAAATCTGTTGTGCCATCCGTCGATGGAAGTTTCGCTGATTTTGTGGCCCGCGTTAGAACGTTGTTTACGCGTTGGGTGACATTGGCAGATGTTAAAAACTCTTATGATAAGTTGGCTGATCTCATTATTCGAGATAAAATTTTGTCTTCATGTAGTTCGGAGATGTTCTCATTTTTTCAAGAAAGGAAACCGAAGTCAGTTGAGGAGATGACAACATTGGGAGAACAGTATGTCACTGCACATCCTGGTAAACACCATTGCACAACCCCAGGTTCGAGGACATACTCCCAGCTGCATCCAGTATTAGGGTGCACCACAACGCCTCGTCAAATCGGCCCGGGTGGAACAAATGCCATAATAGGCAGGGGCGCTATCGCAGCCACAGCGAACAGAGACAACCACCCCATAGAGATCAAACGTCCAAAAAGCAGGGTGAACATTATCAACCCCGTTCATCTGCTTGTTCAATCTGTCTTTCGTGGAGACACAAAAGTCCCGATTGTCCCCACAAGCGACACAGGAAAGATGATGACGATGGTCCATCTTCACGAGGTAGGTTTCAACGCAACACAGGTCCTATAAGGTGCTATGTATGCCGTGGTTTCCATAAACGTTCTGAGTGCCCAAGGGTTATGAACAGTCATGCTAATTCCGCGCAAACAGTAAACGCAGCGATGTCACAAAAAGTGACAAATTTAGCAGACGGTCAGGTTCGAATACATCCAGAAATTTGTTTACCCAGCGTTGTCAGCTGTACCACTGGAGGCTGGTTTGCCTTTGCATAATGGTTATGTTGGAAACATAAAATCTAAAGTATTACGTGACACGGGTGCCAATGTTATAGGAGTGGCTAGATACCTAATCCCCAAATCGGCATACTTAGGTCGGTATTGCAAGTGTCGTACTTTTGGTGGTCGTTTAGAAAGATTTCCTTTAGCAAAAGTCTATTTAAATAACCCGTATTTTCAAGGGGTTGCCGAAGTGTGTGTTTTGGAGAGACCATCAGCAGACGTACTCCTTGGATCAGTTCCAGGAGCAAAGATGCCCTCGCGTGAGGAAATCGAACGCTGGTATAAAGAAAATGAGGGTGTGACTGAAGCTAATGCTGCAGTTACACGCGCTCAACAGAGAGTAAGTAACGAGGAAAGCCACACCTGCGTTACAGTCAGCTACTTCGAACGAAAACCAAATAGCTATCACATGTGGGATAGCTAGCGAAGAAGCAGTAAAGAATGAACCAGAACGACCAAAAGAGCCTGGAAACGAACCACACGCACCGAAAAACAAACAGTTTTTGCGATACAACAACGGGCGGATCCTACCCTCACTAAATGCTTTTCTAGGGCAGAAGTAACCGGTGTTAGAACATGTAAGCAAGGTACATGGCATTTTTATGTGAAGAATGGAATTTTAATGAGATATTTTAAATCACCTGTTATGCAATGTAAACAATTAGTCGTTCCTTTATGTTATAGAACCGATGTTCTGAGAGTTGCACATGACACACCTTTTGCTGCACATTTAGTATAGGTAAAACACAGAAAAGAGTTCTTGCACAATTCTATTGGCCTGGTTGTTCCACAGATATTAGGAAATACTGTAGGTCATGTAAAGACTGTCAAATGATGGCGAGAAAGGATGCATCTCAGAAACCTCCTATTCAAAGGGTCTATCTTCCATGTCGTCCTTTCGAAAAAAGTTGCTGTCGATCTTGTGGGTCCGTTACCGGTTGTTTCACAAAGAGGATTTAGATACATTTTAACATTTGTAGACATGGCATCACGTTGGGTTGAAGCAGTACCGTTACGTCATATCACTACTGAGTCAGTAGCAGAAGCATTGATGCTTTATTCTCTAGAGTAGGCTTTCCTGAAACAATTCTGTCAGATCACGGATCACAATTTATTTCAGAAGCAATGCGCTCTTTTGACAAATTACTTGCCATCTCTCACGTTTTTTCTGCAAGATATCACCCACAATCAAATGGGCTAGTAGAAAATTTAAATGGGAAAATAAAAGCTATGCTAGCCAAAGTTACTAATCAATTTCCAGCAGACTGGGATAAATACCTTCCTGCTGTTTTGTTCGCCTATCGTGAGGTGCCCCAGAGCAGTACAGGTTTCTCACCTTTCGAACTTATATATGGTGCTAATCCCAGAGGTCCACTGTCGCTGTTAAAGGACATATGGATCGGTAAAGGCGATCAAGAAGCGCCTCAAAACATATATTAAATTCGTGACGGAGTTACGTAACAAGATAATCTCAGGTTGTCAAGTTGCACGGGACAACTTGGAAAATACTGGTACTCATCAAAGAGAATACGTTAACCGTAACCGGAGACTAATCACTCTCCAGCCTAATGATGATGTATTGATATTTCTGCAAGATAATAATAATTGTTTATCAGCCAAATGGCAGGGTCCTTTTAAAGTTATTAAGAGAAAATTTCAGATGTGGACTATCTTATTGATGTCAGAGGACATCATAAAGTATATAATCTAAACATGCTTAAAGAGTTTAAGTCTCGCCCTGGTGTTTTGTCTGAAGTGTTAGAAGCAGCTGAGGCACCCGACAATAATTTGCAAGAAGAAGAAATGGAGGCAGCATTCTGCCACGTCATTGACGAAGAGAGCAATGATGTCGAGGTGGACACTGCTCATCAATTGTCCCTACCCGAACTGGTATCCAGAGAAACATGGAGAGACGTGGAAAGTCGCGCCCTCGGTTCCACCAGATATGGTGCGTCGTATAAAGCGTATTTTGGCTACATTCGACAAAACATTATCGGACATACCGGGTAGAACGACAGAAGCAGTGCATTCCATTGAATTATTAGATCATAAACCCATCAAAATGAAACCATATGTTATACCTTTTCATTATCGGGATGCCGTGGATAAGGAAATCGATAACATGATTAAGTGGGGTATAATTGAACCGTCGACATCACCCTATGCTTTTCCAATAGTGGTTGTCCGAAAGAAAGATGGAAGCCTTCGGATCTGTATAGATTTCCGAAAATTGAATCGAATCACGGTTGTAGATGCTGAAAATATCCCAAATATGGAAGATATGTTTGTTGCATTGTCGAAGGCTAGGTATTTTACAAAGTTAGATCTTACCAAGGGTTATTGGCAGATTCCCTTAGACGAGGATTCCAAAAAATACACCGCGTTTCAGACGAACAAAGGTTTGGTTTCACTTCAACTATATGGTCTTCGGGCTTTCCGGAGCACCGGCGACGTTCACCCGCCTCGTACGCAAGTTGTTACAGGGTCGTAATGATGTTATTCATTATCTGGATGACATTCTGCTTTTCCATAATGACTTAGACGAACATATTCGAGGTCTAAAGACATTACTGGAACGCATAAAATCGTTTAATCTGACAGTTAGACCAACTAAAGTGAAGGTCGCTTTCGAGGAGGTCACGTTCCTCGGTCATGTTGTAGGACACGGGGTCCGTAAACCCGAAGCCACCACGGTGGGTAAGATTCTTAACATTCCTATACCAAAAACGAAGAAACAAGTGCGTGCGTTATTGGGGTTTATGTAACTTTTATGCCAAATTCATTCCTAACTATTCAACCATTACAGCCGTGTTGTCCTCATTGACGATGAAAGGAATGCCAGCGAAGGTTATCTGGACGAGAGAGTGCGAGGACGCGCGCTCCAGAGATTACAAAAGGCATTTAATAGTAATCCGTTCTTGTGTTTGCCAGATTTGTCTCTGCCGTTCTATGTATCCACAGATGCGTCCGATGTGGCGATTGGTGGGACGTTGATGCAATCCAGAGAGGGACACCCTACTTCCTGTTGTTTATGCCAGCAGGAAGCTGTCTCCTACTGAATGCCGTTACAGCGTGGGCGAAAGGGAAGCACTAGCCATTTTTTTGGGCAGTAGGGAAGTTTACCCAATTCCTGTATGGCAGTCACTTCTTTGTCTTGACAGACCATCGTCCACTCGAAGTCTTGAACTCAGCACCCATCAAAAACTCACGCATATTAAGATGGACAATGTTTCTACAGACGTTCAACTTCACAGTTATTTATCGCCCAGGGAAAGAGAATGTCTTAGCCGATTTTTTTGTCGCGCACCCAGAGGCATTGGAAGACGATTGATGTTTATTTGTTCAATTTACATGATATTTAAAATGCATGATGTTATGAAAATAATTTGGATAACGATAATGTTGTTGATAATAATGCTTAGTGAAGTCAGGAATCTATATTTGCATGCATTTAGTAATGTATTGACGATATATTGAGGAGTGAGTGTGTGTGTATTCAAGTGTTCTTATTTGCTCTCACGTACTGGTGCTGTTTGCCGCGACATGACTCCAGTTTTCCGACCGAGACTACGTCAAGTCCTAGTGCTCGGTCGTTCTCGGGAGGGGGGAAAAGCTGTCGCGTGCGAATGTGCACCAGAACGCACCAGTACGGAGTGAGCAAATAAGACGTCAAAACAATACGTAACGTTGTTATGATCATATTGTTGTCAAAGCAGTTGATGTTTATAGTCCGAAGGAGACGGACGTGGGAATCCTTGAGGACGCTTTACCCCGGGATCCCACGGAAGCAAACGTTATTAAAGTTGGATCCTTGAGGACGTTTTACCCCGGGACTCCAAGACCTCAGCAGGAAGCTGGTGAGCACTACATTCTCGGCAGCAAGCCGGTATACTTTCATTGCTTAATTCGGACTTGTCCGAGGACCAAGATGATTGTCATGATCTCAAGGTCGGACTGCGACCTATCGTAAGGACATATCCATCCATGGATGTACGAGTGAGCTTTGGTTGAACGAGTTGATTATTGATTGCATACGTATTCTTGTGTTGATCATTGCTGATTGTATATATCAATACAACCATTGGAACTTAACGCATAGCGTTCGAACTCTACCTTTTGAAAGCATTGAAGTAACTACTGTTTTACCCCTACTTGGCCTATTTCATCTTGGTACCACACACATCAGCTTGAAGCGCCTCAGCACGTCCCAATGAAGGTCCGCACGTATCACCTCACATGATCACTAGAAGCACAGACCAGGTCTGTTTTTCTCTTAGTTATATCATGAGGGCAAGAAATCCAGATATTTATCTCTTTAGCTTACCCTTTTTCTCAAGTTTGCCAGTTGTCACTAAGTCTTCATATGTTTTCTCACAACATGTCCAAAATATCTTGGCTGTCTGCGTCTGATTTCTTCAATAAGTTTTGGGTTCTCATCTATTATGTTTTGTGTGTGTGTTTAACTACTCCTTTGTTTTTCTTTCTGCCGATACATTTTTTTTCTTATTTGCACTTTATTCAGGAACCACATCTCTACTGCCATTGGAAATAATAAAGCTTGTCTGCTTATTCCCCATTATGATAGCAGTAGTTAAGTTGAAAAACATTTAATCTGAGGATGGTCACCATTCACGGTGTCTTATATTCCACTATTTATTTTACATTCGATAAAGTAAATGTTACTGATATTTAGAGAATGCACAAACATTTCTTTTTATCATGAATAGACCATAATTCTCTCTCTCTCTCTCTCTCTCTCTCTCTCTCTCTCTCTCTCTCTCTCTCTCTCTCTCTCTCTCTCTCTCTCTTTGTGTGTGTGTCTCTGTCTGTGTATGTCTTTGTCTCTGTCTGTGTGTTGTGTCTGGGTGTCGTGTCTGTCTCTGTGTCTGTCTGTCTGTCTGTCTGTCTCTGTGTGTCTATATATATATATATATATATATATATATATATATATATATATATATATATATATAATATATATATATATATATATATATATATATATATATATATATATATATAATGGAATAGCGGTTATAACTTTTCTTATCTAATTAAGCATTTCTCTAGAATAGGGAGCTGTTATGGAACTTACCAAATCAGATTTAATTATTGCTCCTGTACATCTACAATGGAGCAGCAATGGAACATTTGTAGTCAATAAATGTAATCATTTCCCATATACAGTGGAGCAGTTATAACTTTGTCATAATCACTAAATGTAATCATTTCCCATATACAGTGGAGCAGTTATAAAACTGACATAATCAATAAATGTAATAATTTCCCTAATCATACTTTAACTTAGGTTAGGGCACCTTGAAAAGATTTTAATTAAAAAAAGGTGCCGTGACTAAGAAAAGTTTGGGAAATACTGGTCTAGATGATTAAGAAACCTTTTAACTATTGTTTGTTTTCCAATGTTTCTGATGTCACTGGTTCATTTTAACAAGCGTTGCATGCTTATGAATGTTTCAGGTGACTTTGAAGAAGACCCAACTACCAGTGATACAGCAGGTAAAGATGTGCAGAAGAAAATCATGCCATGGCGACAGATGACACCCAGCGAAGAGACTGAGGCAGAACTGGTGTCGCAACGGCTGAGGCGACCTGATGATGGACTCATCCTGGTAACCTCTTTGATTGACAAGGTTCCAAACCTGGGAGGTGAGCTGTCAGCTGAATAGTTGTTGTTTTTTTTTCTGGGGACATTGACAGTAAACCATGTTTACTCTCTGTATTTAGAATTTGCTTTGGTGTAGCGGCTAGACGCTCGCCTGCAAATCCGAAGGCCATGGGTTCAAATCAAACCCTAAAGGGATAACAGGTAAAGTCCTGGGAAGAAAAAAGTGGCCAGGATGATGTTCCAGGGTCAAATTGTTGGTGTAGTGGAACAGCGATAGAACTTTTCTTATTTAGTATAACCATTTCTCTGATATAGTTGAGCTATTATAGAACTTATCGAATCAGATTTAATTATTGCTCCTGTACATCTACAATGGAGCAGCTATTGAACTTTCGTAATCACTAAATGTAATCATTTCTCATATACAGTAAAGCAGTTATAAAACTGTCATAATCAATAAATGTAATCATTTCTCATATACAGTGGAGCAGTTAAAAAGCAGTCACAAATAATGAACATAATCATTTCTTATATACTAGTAGAACAGTTTAAAAAAAAAAAAAAGTCATAAACAAAAATGTAATCATTGCTCATATACAGTGGAGCAGTTATAAAACTGTCATCGTCAGTAAATTGAATCATTTCTCTTTGGGTGAAACAAAACTTTATCCACTACCCATCTAACAACCGTGTCATTTTAGACGACTAATTAGGGGTTTGTTGAAATCAGATGTGTTGGGCCAAAAGGTATACAGCTACCATAGTCTTAGCCTGCAACACAATGTACCAACTGCTTTTTAATGGGAGTCAAGTTCAGTTATTATTATGGAGATTTTATTTTAAGAGAAGAAAACAAGGAAGCTTAAAAAATATAACTGAAGAAAACATCACTGAATGAGATGAATATTGGGTACATAACAGCTTTGGACATGTAACAGCAGTTTCCGAGTGTGCTTCTTCTTTAGCTTCTAATAGTCCATGCCATGTGGTGTTGGTAGTCATATCTATCCATAACCTTCTATCTAAGTTCAGTGCGAAGGCAGTGGCTTAAATCATCACATATGTCCACTGTGTGGAGTCATCTTTATTTTCGTTTCGGGATAACTGGACGTCGATGGGAATGAAAAAGCTGAAAGGTTGGCTGGATCCGCTATCACTACCTTTTTATGACATGACCAAAGAATTTAGACTGTCTCTTTCTGATGTGGGCAGTCAGATTTGTTCGTGAGTCAGTTTTTTTCAAGACATCTTCATTACTCTTTTTTAAAAATCTGTCCAAAGTATTCTCATCATTCGTCTATAAAAGCCCGCCTCCGCTGCTTCCAAATAATTGTTTGCTAATTGTCCAAATGTCCATGATTCACTTCCATATATTTGGATGGAATTTATATAGCTCTTGAGAATTCTCTTTCTCGTCTCGGTTGACAAAGAAAGATTATATAGAAAATAGAGTGGGCTACCAATATAAAATCTCAGATCATAATAGAGATCTATTGCAGGCAATTTTCATTGTGCAGACAGTACCTGATTGATGATTTGGTTGAAATTCTGCAGGTCTGTGTCGGACAAGTGAGATTTTTGGGGTCTCTGAGTTTGTGATTGGCAGTCTCTCCTATCTGGAGGATAAAATGTTTCAGAACCTTAGTGTCTCAGCTCAGAAGTGGATCAAGATCACAGAGGTCAGTGTTTTTTTTTTCCTTTAAATGTCAAAATCTTTTAATACATGTGTGTTTCAGCTTTAAAAAAAATTTGATAAAGGCATAAAAAGCCTAAGGATTTACTTTATTGCACTAGATTTAAAAAAAATCCCAAATGACTTGATCTCTCTGATTAAAAACCTGCTGGCAGCCTTCCAAAAGTATTATACACATCAGGGGACTGTGTGGTCTGGAGGTATGGTGCCCCCCTCGTGTGCTAGAGGTCCCAGGTTTAGGCCCCGGCAAGGGCTGGGATTTTTTCACTCTGACTTATAGTAATTTTTCCTGGTCTCTAGGTAGTTAGATCGGACGCCCATGTGTATTGTTGCGCACGTAAAAAACCCTTGGCATTTGGAAATCAAAAAGAGTAGCCTAATGACGCTGACAGGGCAAAATTTTGAGTTAAAAATCTACCCAAAATATTTCAGGATCCTTGTCGGTGCTAAAGGGCCCGTGCACTGCGCTGAGCTTCTTTGGACTCAGACTTGAGTTAGAAGAATAGAGCACATATGGGTTACTACCCGTGTGTCATGATGTTGATACATTTGTCAAAACTTTAAGTTTTGTACACAACACAAAATAACTTCATTGCTCAAGCAAGTATGGCTTCTGCGATAATCTCAGGAGACTTTTGAGAATTGCAGAAGGTATAACAATAAAAATCAACAACCCCCTGCTTTGTAAGCAGACGGAATTTGTCGTACATTTGAAGTTACCCTGGTAGTCAGTGACTAAGGTGAGCTTCCGGTGGCCATGAAAGAGAAACAATGTATCGAAGAAACTATTCGCATTTCAGTTGAATTTATTCAGTTTTGTGCTTTATTTTATGATGATGTAACTCTGTAGTAACGCACCTGATGAGATACAGCGAAATATGCCTGGCAATAAATTGTGCAATGTATTGTTTGTATTATTTAAAATCTACTTCTACACTTCCTGTAAAGGGAGATAAACGGTTCTTTCTTACCAAAAGAATAGGTGAAACATGAAATGGGTTTTTCAGACTTGGTTTATACATGAGTGGATTGGACAACTTGATGGTGACTGGTAAGGTTGATGGGGAGATAAAGCAAGGTAAGGCAATGAGATAAATACCTGGATGGGTTGGCTGGATGGAGAACATTGACCTGATGTGTAAGTCTGGTGGTCATCTAAGATAGCAATACATGACAGCCATTTTTATCAGCATAGCTCATGATTATGATGGTTTAGCCACTAAGTGCATTGCAAATTATTGTTCTCTTCTGCCCTGATTTTAGGTTCTGCAGTTGCGGTTGCCAGAATTCTTGGAAGAGAAACGAATGCAGGGTTATACATTAGTTGGAGTGGAACAGACTGCTAACAGTGTCAGCCTTCAGGATTACCAGTTTCCCAAAAAGACTCTGCTTCTGCTGGGGTATGTTAACTTTCTCTTTAACTGTTATAAGTTAATTTATTGTCCTTACCCTGTGCTGTTAACTTCTGGTTACAAGGGGAAGTCAGTAAGTTAGTCACAAATGGTTGTTTAAAAAAATAAAGAAAGACGATAACAACTTGAAAACCTAAGCCCTGTTAGAAGAGAAACAAGAAAGGAAGATGATGTCAAAGGGGTTGGGGAGGAATAGGTGAAGAAGAAGATGTTGGAGGGGTAGGGGAGGAATAGGTGAAGAAGAAGAAGATGTCAGACGGGTAGGGGAGGAGTAGGAGAAGAAGAAGAAGATGTCGGAGGGGTAGGGGAGGAGTAGGAGAAGAAGATGTCGGAGGGGTAGGAGAGGAGTAGGAGAAGAAGAAGAAGATGTCGGAGGGGTAGGATAGGAAAAGGTGAATAAAAAGAAGATGTCGGAGGGGAAGGGGAGGAATAGGTGAAGAAAAATAAGATGTCGGAGGGGTAGGGGAGGAATAGGAGAAAAAGAAGAAGATGTCGGAGGGGTAGGGGAGGAATAGAAAAAGAAGAAGATGTCAGAGGGGTAGGGGAGGAATAGGAGAAAAAGAAGAAGATGTCGGAGGGGTAGGGGAGGAATAGGAGAAAAAGAAGATGTCAGAGGGGTAGGGGAGGAATAGGAGAAAAAGAAGATGATGTCAGAGGGGTAGGGGAGGAATAGGAGAAAAAGAAGAAGAAGTCAGAGGGGTAGGGGAGGAATAGGAGAAAAAGAAGAAGATGTCGGAGGGGTAGGGGAGGAGTAGGAGAAGAAGAAGATGTCGGAGGGGTAGGGGAAGAATAGGTGAAAAAGAAGATGTCAGAGGGGTAGGGGAGGAGTAGGAGAAAAAGAAGATGTTAGAGGGGTAGGGGATGAAAATGAGAAGAAGAAAAATTCTAAATGTAACTAGAAGAGACAGGATCAGAAATGACTTTAGCACATAGGAAGTTGGGATAGAGCCAATACTAAACTGCATCCAGCAACAACAGATCACTTGGCCAGACATGTGTTAAGGCCACCACTGGATAGTGCACCACAGCGAGGTCTGTCACCTTAATGGAAACAGCTATTGGTAAATAACTTTGAATATCTAGGCTTTATAATAAACAACAATGGAGACTGTTCGACATAAATTAAAAGGAGGATGGCAATAGCAATGCAAAGATTGAACAGCCTTAAAAGTCTATGGTTAAGCACCAGCAAGGAGATAAAAATTAGAATTTTGAGAGCATGCATCTTTCCTTTGGCTACATAGGATGTGAGTCGTGGACTATCTCTTCTCAGTCCTTAGGAAAGAGAATAGGGGCTTTTGAGCTGAAATGCTATAGAAAGATTCTCAGAATATCTTGGACAAAGAAGAGGAGAAATATTGACATCTTAAAAGATCTGAACGTCAAGGAAGATTGGCTAATAAACAACATCCTTTCTCAAAAATTGAAATATTTTGGTCATATCAAGCGCCACGACGGATTGGAAAAAATTATAGCAGAAGGCATGGTACCAGGAAAGAGGGGCAGGGCCGACCGACACGAAGATGGGCACAGGATATAAGTGACTCCTTGAGTGTGAAAGTGCATGAGGCAGGAGAACTAGAGAGAGACCGAGTTTCTTTTAGGCAGACTGTGATGAGAGCGACTTTCTGCAATGGACCTGCTACATGATGATGATTGGGAGATGGAATAGCTGAGACCGTAACTGCCAGCATCTGATGCCTTTTCAAAACCTGGTGCTGAAAGGCAGAAGATCAGGGCTAAAGAAGAAGAAGACAAAGAAGTTGAAAAATGAGAAGGGGAAAGAGGAGGAGAATAAGAAAGAAGTCCTCTGCTGAGTTGGTGGTAGGTTTACTTAGTGACTCATTGTCTGTTCTCCAAGCACTATCAAGCAAAAAAACTAAACAAACTAATTTGCAGATCTAAGGACCAACATTGGCTTACTTTCCAAGGAAGCAGAACTGGTCTTGCAGTGGATACTAGCCAACTGTGGTATTCAAGGAAATGAGAGAGCAGTTGAGTTGGCAAAAGCTGGGAGTAATTTTCCACTGTCTCATCCACCACACAGCTACAAGGAAACCAAAACAACACTAAAGCAGTCTTTTAAGTGGGAGTGGAGAAGGCAGAATGGAGATTACAGACCAGAGAGTGACAGCATAAACAAACTCAACAGGAAAGAACAAACATCAATTTTTAGACTTTGGACTGGACACTGTGGTCTTCGAGCACACCTGTACAGGATAGGCATAAAAGAATCTGCTGCCTGTGATTATGGAGCAGAAAGACAGACCCCTGAGCACATACTGCAGCACTGCCATAACTTCTCCCAGCAAAGACTGTGGATCCGACCCAAAAGGGAGCCACATTGCAAGAGAAACTATGGGGAACTGGTGGCGACCTTAAATGCACAATCCTATTTGTAACCCAGATGGGACTCACTGTTTAGCTAACTGATGTCAAATGCTGAAGAAGAAGAAAAGAAGGTGGTTGGTTATCTTCAGTAAATGACCAGCTTTTATTTTATTTTTCAGAAACGAGAAAGAAGGAATCCCTGTGGAGTTAATCCAGCTACTGGATGTTTGTGTGGAGATCCCTCAACTGGGAGTCATCCGTTCCCTTAATGTACATGTCTGTGGGGCACTGCTCATCTGGGAGTACACTCGGCAGCACATGAGAAACACTGGTGTTACAGCAACCAGTACAGCAGCTCTTACAGGCTGAACTAGCACAAGTTTAATTACTCAGCACACACAAGTAAAGACATGATCAGAAATCATGAGTCTGATGTGACAGGATATCTGTATATTATGTTTAACATATTTTTAAAATGTGTATATTGTAACATTATGGAATGGACACCGCTGCAGTAGTCTGTATCAGAACCAAACACAAAAGATGCTACCAGAATAACTCTGTTGTTGGCACCTGTCCCTCTTTCCGGACGGTACTGTTATATTGCGCTGTGAGGAGGCATAGGACTCACAGCCCATGGCAATGGCAGGTGTGACTAGAAGACTGACCCTCATTAAGAAAAATCTTCCACACTGAGTGCATGGGAGTTCAGAACCGTTGTTGCCATTGTATGCATTTAATGTGTCTTTCTGCAATAATTTCTTCCTTCATTCTCATTCCCTTCCCAATTTTCACCTTCCGCGCAACACAGTCCATGGCATTTTGTTAACACAAATCTATATCAATACTTGTATCATTCGTGTCCCTCTTGCACACATCTTTAAATTGTAGTAGAGCCCAGCCTGTGCATTTTCTACTGATCTGTAATTCACCTAGAGATGTCGGTAGGGACTCTGCCATCCTCCAGATGTGACTGGGCACCTGAGCCTTTCTAGACTGAGCATTGAGAAGACTGTTGTGATACTCACTCTTTTTAATAGCTCAGCATTTGTGATCTTGTTTTGCCACTTAATGCCAAGTATTCTATAACTACAAAAAGTGGTACTTGGCTGTTGCATGGTTGCTGCGTACCCTCTTTATTCTCAGAATGCAAAAATATCAGTGGGTGATGAGTTGTGTCACAAAGTCAGATATCTAACAGGAAGTGACAGTAAAGAAGGAAAAAAAAATCTGGGACTGGGCAGTAAAGATGAAAGGTTAACTTCTACTGGTTAGGTGTTTGTCTGATAGCGCAGAAGAAACAAAAATTTTTTTTTTTAAAAACACACACACATATATATGAGTGGGAGACGAACGGTCTGCAATGTCCGAGGAAAGCATTGGTAAGAACATTGTTGCGGGAAGCAAGGAGTACTGGGCTAGGCTCCATGTCGGAAGTCGAGAGGGTTGCCTGCAGTGAAGTGGAGGAATTGAATGAGAGTCTTATGTGATGTCTAACGGCACACAAAGGATGATGATTCTTCTTCTTCTGTTGTCATCTCACTTATACCAGGTTATAACCCATGTCTTGGTTTTCTGTCTTTGTCTTGCACTTTTTGGGCAGCTTGGGTGATGGATTTGTTCATTTTTGGGGGGGCAGGTTTCAGCTACAACATTTATGTCTCTTTCTTGATCTTCCTCCTAGGTGTTTTGCTGTAAAAAGTCTCATATGCAGTTTGGCCTGGCTGCATTCTCACTAAATGGCAGAACCATTTCATTCTTTGTCTGTCAGTATAATCCAGACATGGTCTTCTTCCAACTTTCTCTCCAATGCTGATATTCGTAACCCTGTCTTTTTTGTGTTGCTAGTGACCTTGCGGAGACAGCACATTTCACATGTAATTATTTTCAGTTCTAGTGCCCTATTCTGATAACATAATTAGGATAAAGGTGCTATTAATTATTTGCTATTTTGCTGGAAGGAAGACATCTGGGTGTCTAAGCAGACGCTAACTGGTAGGTGACAGCATTAGCCTTCTGTACTCTGGCTTCTATCTCTCTATTGAGTCTGCCCTCCTCTGTAGACATACTTCCTAGATATTAAGGATAATGAATGAATATTTTAAAAAAGGGTGGGGTGATCAAACAGAAATGTGGAAATGACAGACAGATGGAGGGAGAAAGAATCACACAAAAATGTTCAAATTAAAATCGTGGATATCCAGGTCTTAAATGTTCTTAAAATTTGCTTGGGTGTGGGGAAGAAAGATTTCTCAGAGGAACACTTGAGGACATCAAAAAGCATGCTGACTCTCTTAGAAGAATCAGCTCAGAAAATGGGACTAGTTATCAATCAAGATAAGACGAATACATGATAACTAGTCAGGGAAAGAATATAAACTCCGGCCACATGCAAGTCGATAATAGGAAAATCAAACAAACGGAAACATATTAGTACATGGGTGCAAACTTCAACTGCTCCAATATGCTGGGAGAAGAAATGCAATCTAAAATAAAATCTGGGAATAAAGTATACTATGCACTTTAACATCTGCTAAAGTTAAAGTGTCTGTCTCGCAACACCAAGATCAAAATATATAAAACGTTAATAAGACCAGTCGTGTTAAATGGCTCTGAAACTTGGAGCACAGATGAAGCCTTATTACAGGTTTTCGAAAACAGAGTCCTACAATGAATCTTTGGGCCCATCAAAGATGCAAACAGCGCGAATGGCGAGTGAGAAGCAACAACGAAATTCATAATCTGTTTAAATCACCTCTGATCACTGGCATCATGAGAGCTAATAGACTGAAATGGTTGGGGCATATTGAAAGAATGTCAGATGACAGAGAAGTAAAAACTCTATACACCAGGGAGATGAATGGTTGTAGACCACAAGCCAGACCAAGAAGACGATGGAGAGATAATGTTCAGACAGACCTGCTAACACTTGGTGTTACCAACTGGAAAAAGAAGGCCAACCCGAGAGATGAATGGAGGCGGGTGATATCTGCAGCAATGAACCTCACTGGCTCTGAATTCTGAAGAAGAAGAAAGAGGAGGCCATGGCAGACTAGCTTAATGTTAAAAGTTGCTTACTCATACATTCAGGATAACCTAGAAATGAGATGGAAATCAATATTTTGTGGCAAATATAATGCAATTTATATCATTGTTGTGACAAAATAATTTAAAATATTGATTTACTAGAAGGCATTCAAGCCTTAAAATCTATTTTGTAGCTTGTGATTCTGTTCTTGTAAATTTTCATTTCTGTTGATATATTCATTTTATTTGTTCAGCTTTGATGTAGTTAAATCTATCCTCATAGAAAGTGATGACAACATACACAGTGGGTGACTGCAGGCGAGCTAATAACAAGAAGTGCTAAATACAACATGGAATTCTCTGTTCTGGAGGGATTAATAATATTCCACACAGCTTTATTTTTTAATTGTATTAATTTATTTATTAATACATTACCAAATAGGCACACAACCCCCCCCCCCCCCCCCCCCCCCCCCCCCTTCCTCAGGTGTCTTCATTTGCTATGTCTATCTTACAGGTTGAAACTATGGAATACGGACACAATTCAAATCAAACCATTCAGATGGCACCGTAGGGATACAGAAATGCATATTAACCATGCATAGGTCGAATAACTAACACAGCAACAATTTACAAGCACAGCAGACTGTGGTGCTTTGTCCAAAATACACAAACATTTAAAAAAGAAATTTGTTTGTTATGTTCTTTTGTGTTACAGTAATTCACCATATGTATGTTGTTGCATCTTGTTTAATGAGCCACTCTGAAGAACCTTGAAAACATTTGTTTTCTGCAAGGGTTGTATATTTAGCCCTTCTGGAAGTAGTATACCCATGAGTTAGCATTGCCATATTTCAACTGTTATGGACATAAGCTTCAAAACTTGTGGGACTCAAAGAGTTAGGGGCTGTTTCTGTTAGATGGCCACCAAATGGCATTCACTTTAAATAAGCCTTCCCTTAGGGCCCTTTCTTCTTTAAGAGATTTATTTAAAGCTAGTGCCAGTCAGTGTTCAGTTTGACTGGTAGCCACCTTAAAGTGAAATACTTCACTGTCTGCAGTCTTCTTCTTCTTCACTTCTTGTACTGCTTCAGGAGTCAAAGGAGCCATACGATTTCAGTTTGTTGCTCTTCCGGCCACCTCTACCATAGACACACATTGCTTTTTTTTTTAAAGAGTTTCACTGATGTTATCTTGTTTATTTACTGCTGTCTTAGTGCCTTTAATTTTTCTGTGTTGGGTTCAAATATGTGGGGGAGGGCAGATAAATTGATAATGTAAAAAAAAAACAATTTATTAGTGACCTGTGTTTTTTTTTTAAAGGTCGATTTTTGGGAATTTATATGCGATTGTAATCCCCGTTTTTAGCATTTCAGGCTAAAGGTTACACTCATAAACTGTGTCTTCTTCATATTAAAACTGTCAAAACTCTAGCAAAGGAGTCTGTTGGCCACTAGGTCAAAATTAAAAATTATAAAAGTTTTTTTTTAAACACCTAGAGGTGTTTTAGCTTTGATATAATGAGCTCTAGAATGGATGACACCCAAGTTGAGCACCACTGCTCTCATTATTAGGTGGGTTAACACATAAAGAGTGTATAAAACACTACTGATGAATGTTTTGTACACAGTGTGAATTTGAATTTACAGAGTAAGAATGTATACTCTAGAAAAGAGCCACGGACCCTCTATTATTTACAGCTGCCAAGACCTTCATACTTTTTAGTCAAATGTTTTTTTTTATTAAAAAGAGGGGGGGGGGTGTTAAATCTAAATTATAATTGCAACAAAAAAATCAGGTTTGAGGATTTTTAATTTTTAAAAAATGTATCTCAATAAATATCAGACCCCATAAATTTGTTCTAACCTAGTGAAATTAACACCTGTGAAATAATTTGCCTGAGAAAAGCTGCCAGCTTAGCCAACCGAGACAAAGTTAGAAATGATATGAAGTGGAATAGAAACAACACCATGCAGCAAATCATTCAGAAACAGGATCAGATGGTTTGTTCATCAAATACGAATGCAGCAAACAACTAACCAACAGTCATACACCTGAAAATATCTGATGTGAAAGCAAGAGGTCACCCTAGGAGGAAAATGGATTGATAAGAGTCAAAGAGTTTCCACATCGACAATGTAGAACCCATCTAGCAATGGACTGCAGACTGTTCTTCTCCATGGTGCTTAATGGTGGAAGTGGAAATTGATGATGAGTTTGTTTATTGGACTCCTGAGGGTCTGCAGACTGCCAGTAGAAAACACTGCTGTAGAGTGTTAAAACTTGCCATATGTTTTTATCTGTTGTATAGATATAGCTTTGTACAGGCTGTATATGTCTAA